GTTGTCTAATGGCTTCCATTTTTCCCAGATGACTGACTGACGTGAATATATATCTCTTGTAGTTTCGTCCTTCAGTTCAGTTTCTGTTCTGGGTGTTCAACTTCAACTGTGGCCTATCACCAGCTCCTATGAAGGCTTTCAACTTGATTTTGAAGGTTCCTCCCACTAGATAGTGAGTGGTGTGAACCTACATCCGCTCCTCTTCGTTGTCTTGTGTCCAGTACGCTGCGTCTCCACTTCCTTCACATTAAGATGAAGTCAGTCTAATTTTTAGTGTGTCCGTCTCGTGAAGTCCATGTCGCTGTCTTGTGAATATCCTTTTAGTCGTACACACTGCCTGTCTCCAATCACCAAATCGTTGGACGCAAAAAAATCTGCAAACAGTTCTCCGTTCTCGTTCATTTCACCGAGTGCCCCTCGAACCATAATGAGTGCTCCTCCTGTGTTGTTCGCTCCGAGTTTGGCGTCCATGTCGCCCATTAGAATTTCAATTTCGCCAACTGGGGTGGGGTCTTGTCCAGAACTGATTACAGTTGTCTATAGTATTCCTCCTTCTTCTCTTGATCTGCATTATCTGTAGGCACGTAGCGTAGCATTGTATGATTGTGACTCTCCTTTCATTTGAGTTGAATCTTGCTGTCATGATCCTGTAGGAGGAGATTGGTCCCCACCACATGAGAAACTTCGATGCTTTTGGGGACATCACGATAGCCACTCCAAAACTCAGTGTACTTGTGGTTGTCGTCTGGGTGACAATATCGGAGTAGATTATTGACTCTCCGGCTGACAGTTTGAAGAGTCCACTACCACTCCACCCGCTCTCTTAGGTTCCTAGCACTTCGTGCCATATCTCCTCGTTTATTTTGTAATACGGGCAGCCTTCCCAGCCAGCCTCAAACATTGTACGGACATTCCGTGTCCCTATGCTTACTCTCGGTTTCACTGAGAGAAGCGACGGCATATCGGCCAATTGGCTTCCCGAAGGCCTTCCCTAACCGGCGTCATTTCATCTCCCCGATTTCAGCAACGAATAAGTTTGGTTTCATTTTTTATATTTTCTTTGTGCTTTGAAGTTTCTTTAGTGATTGGATTGGTTATACAAGGTAGGGTTGCTAGACCTATGCCTAACCTTCCCTCTTTATCCGGGCTTAGGACCGGCTAGTAAACTAGTCAACTAGTTAACCATGAAGGAATCTAATAGCTGTAGAAGCGCCACTGTAACTGGCTGTTCTCTCACTCTTGCTAGCATAGTTGTATAAAAATCCTTTCGATGAACATTTTGAATCCCACATCTTAGGGGTGCTGTAATAGAAGAGAGAAGAACAAATGTAAGCCGGTCACAATAACAGGTAGCTCTACTTTAGGGAGTAGCACCGACTTTGGTAGAGTAGTGATGCCTCCTGCTCAGCACACTGCGAGCCCAACCCCTCGAACAAACCATTCGCCAGCTACCCAGATGGAAGAAGGCCTAGGAAACAGGAAGCTCACTCGAAAGCCAAGTCAAAACTCTGTCTCTCAGTTCACTATCGACCCCAGTTCTGTGGAGTAAGACGAAGCATTATGAACTTTTGATCGTGAACTTTTAATGTGAACCGATGCCAGAATACGTGTATTACGTAGTTCTGCAATCATAAAAGAACGACGGACAATGGTACATCTTCTGCTGCCGTGCTTCATCCTGGCTATATGTAATAGTCATGTCTTCTAGTGAATGACCAAGTTGGGGTTGAAGCTGCCTGTCCTTAGGAAGCATGCACTTTACACGGGAATTTCATGCACACCTGTGAAAATGATGTTTGGCTGCACGCTATTATGACTGGATAAAAACCATTGAGGAACTCAGTCAGCGTCACTCCTTTGAGAATAAACTTTGCGGAATGTTTCCCCTTTTTATTTACATGATGCTTTTACATATCTATTAAACATGATTTTCACTTCTGCCAGAAAACTTTATTAAACCTGTGAATGAACACAAAATTCAACATGTTACTTAACGACGACTATTTGTATGTCATGGGAAATCTTTCTTTTAGCTTGAGGATTGCTGCTATCTGGGATAAAGAAGAGGTGGTAAAGAGTTTTGATCAAAGATTTCTTGCCACTAAACGTGATGACCATGTCCGTAAGTGATTTGCACCTGTCGTTTCGAGAATTACTACCATTACTATTATCATTATTAGTTCATGAGTTCACTGGCTACTGGTCAATGCAGGGCTATAAAGCTTAGGCCTGACTGCAGTTCATAGGACATTAGAACTTCGTGATGGATTTTTTTCACGGTTGTGCTGGTAAGAGAGCAGCTCGTTACATGCTTCTTTTTCGGCTAAAATGCTTGGGGTATAAAATTAAGGGAGGACTATTTTTAGTGATTTGACGTGCATCATTACAATTTTAGGGGTGGTCTTGAGGTGCTGCAACTTCTTTTTCATGAAGTCAGTTTCAGTAGAGGTCTCAAATTCAGGATGATAAAAGTTAAATCTGATAAGATGGTACCTCATCTAGTCCCGCAACAAGGGCACACGCAATCTATCACAAGGTAGACTGTTCAGCAGTGCGTCATAACAACCAGAAGGCTAACTAGGATCACAGAAGCAATGGATCTGTTGTGAATATACCTCGCAACTCATCGCTGGATAAAAGCAGCTGGCATTCTTCAGATACACCTCACAAAAACTCTTTGATACCGTCTCTAGGTATGACTTTGTATTTGTATAGTCTGCTAAGGACAGTAGCAGGGGATACGAGACCTCGTTTTTAAATGGTGAGTCCATTATTTCTTCGTCTGCTGCAACGGGTTTTAAAAAGAAATCTTTCTGTAGTTGAGTCATAACGTTCTAAGCTTCAGACACCAGAAAGGAAGGGAATATTATGACATAATACCCTTTTCCTACCAACACTATTCTTTGATGATGGAAAGCACTTGAATTACAGTCGTTATTTATCACAAGACCATATCCAAACCACAGACCTCCGTCGAAAATTGTTGCATCAGGTAACCCCCTCAATTTATTCAGGAGAAAAGTTTCAGGTGACATGGACCTTAACTGTGTATGATTTGGCGCTTATCCATTTTATCGCCATCGTGGGCCTTACCCTAGAAAAGGACCGGTGATCTGTTGTTTGAGGACCAGGCGCCTGTCGATACAAGGAAAGGTGTCCGATAAGATACATTGTGGTTGAGTTCTGTATTAGATCCCTCGGCTTTGTACAGGTTTCACACGAGAAATGTGTCAGTGATCCAGGCAGAGTCATTCAGCATTTCAACAAATTTTTGAAGATCGTTCCTGCACTGGTTCTAAATGGCCGGTTTTCCTAAGCAAAAAGATATGAACAGAGGATTCCTTTCAAGATGTGACCAAGTGGGAATAGCCTTTACGAAAATGTGAGTAAAACCCCATTATTTAACCCGGATTTCTCGGTAGGACCCACAGAACTTGGTAATGGCGTCCTCATCGCAAAGTGGAAAGGAAAAATCGCCATATAACCTAAAACTACCCGTTAACCTTGTGTGACACTTTTCCGGGCCCTGGGTTAAGTAACTTCTGAATTCCCTAATTTTGAATGTTATTTAAGATTTTCTGCACGAACTGGTGGAGTCCACTTAGAGGTGATAAGACAGTTAAGCTTATTGTGACTACTCTTCATTGAACCACCCAAGTATCAGAGGACAAATACCGGCTCTTGGCTGCAAGGAAGACTTTATACGACAAAGAGTCGTGATTTCTTAACGCGGGAATGGGCCAGATAAAGGATGAAATAATTGATGCTGACCAACTCTCCGAAGTGCTGAATCGCTCAGTAAGATCTGCCCAAACCACACAGCAGTACAGATCAAGGAGTGAAGCTTCAAATTTTCCACCTTACCAGCCAATTACTTGAAATTCTAGCTTCCATCTTGGCCGCTTTCTAACACTGGAAGAACAGACGTCTGTTGGTCGATGTATTTACTTCTGAGTACTAGGATCATGTTCGGGTAACGGTGATGAGTAGGTCACGGGAGTTTGTGGATCATTTATTCAAGCCGAAAACAGTAACAGACTCTGAAGAGTCATTCGATATCAGGAACCACCTAGACAGTGGCGAGACTGTCGGTGACCGAAATAGGTTCATACGCCATTCGTTTCATTTGGAACCTGGAGCTCATGAGCTTCACTGGTTTGGAATTAGGGTTTTTCAACTCCGCTGGGTAGACCCTCAGTATTCTTCAATCCGGCGATAAGCATCGTACATTCGATTGCGCCGTTTCATCTGTGGAAACACCTCACAACGTAAAGGCAGTGAATAGGACTTATCTGGCAGAGACTGTGAACGCGTATCAAAGTATCTGACCTGAGTCGTGTGAGGCGATGTAGACTGTCTGTTTGGGGTCCCCGAGAATATAGAAATCAGCGGCTGAGCAGTCTTAGTGACAAGGCTGGAAATCGGTCCATTCACTTCTGTAGAAGACACAATGGGAATAGTTTAATTCAATTGGTGGTACTTAGTACCAGGGAGACTTGCAAGAGAAACTTTGTTTTCAATGCCTGTGCATGTGCTTAGACACTGCTGATAACGGCAGTGAAACGAATCAGACACCCAAGCAGTACTGTCCTCACAGTGGCTCATCCTGTTGTTAAACAAGATTTCGACAAACCAATGGTCACGTTATGTATCAGCAGGCAATATCCATCATGAACAAAAACGCTGGAAAATCTTCCGCAGGGTGACATACTACTTGTTTTCGTATCTAGTAAAATGAACAAACTTAGCATGATGGCAAGCCTGCCACTTGACTATGGGAAGTGATGGTCAGCCACCTTATTTCAATCCAAGGTAAAACAGTGAGAAATTTCCAGTGAGTTTCAAAATAATGTTTCGTGTAGTTAGGTTTTAACGCCTACACATCTGAAGATTAGGCTATTCTCAAAATGTTCGACGGAGTACATGCATGGATTGTTATACACATTATCCTAACACACACAACCGAATAGCAAGCAGAACTGTGAATTTTCAAATCTTACTTTAATCTCAGTAGACTGATTTTTCTTGTGTTGAAATGGTTTAGGTTGCAACAGTTTCTTCATAAGCTGTTTGTAAACTACAGTTAAAATCTGAGTCTTACTTTAGACTTAGATCCCTTTTTCAACCTGGGGCGTTTAATTTTACCGATTGCAGCTTTTGGAGGCTGAAAATAAAAGCCAATTACCTAAAGCATTACCTTATCATGCCCAACTCTCATGCTCACACGTTGCAGCGAGAAACGTGAACGAGGCGCTCCCGTGTCCAATTTCCAATAAATGCATTCACAGAATAACTGCACACTTCAAACTTTTTGCTTTGGAAACAGCAAAAAAAGCTTCTTCAGGCTATCCGTCTGCTTTAATTAAGTAATTTTCGAGCTTCAGATGGTCACAGTTGTCTTCTTATTCTGAAAAACTTGAAAGGACAGATGACAAATCAATAATCGTTAAGCCTTCTATGAGCAGTGATGCTAATCGTGGTCTTTATGATGTCTTGAGGCCTTTTCGTTACATCCCGTCTGTGCCGCAGGACTCTGAGACCGCATTTAACCTCCCCTTGAGACCATCGTAAGGGCCTGCAGTAAGTGAGGTGATGGGATCCCATAGTTTAACTACCTTGAATGCAAACTAGTCAACATGGATCTCCATGGCTGCTTCGTCATGCCGTACTTATAAAGGATGGCCTCTAAAATCATGTTTTAATTGTAACTCTGGCGCAGTCCCTGGGGATGCACGGGGTGTAGGCGACAAGTTATTCTATTTCCACTCCGTACAGGTTGCAGCAAAAGAGCAATTAGGTAATCAAAGCTATATTAGTAACGTAGTTCAGACACTCTTCCCTAATTCTCCTACGTGACTATTCTACTTTAGCAACTTCCCTCTGCACTTCTGAGGATAGACAGCTATTCCCCAGGTAAGGACGAAAATACAGTAGCGAAGAAAACCAGTGCAGCACGTCTACATTGAAATCTGCCCTCTGCAGTCTTTCCAACCTGGCTCCACGGCCGCTCACAAGATGTCATTTCCTCGTCATATGACCTCTTCCATGTCACCCTTGGACGCCCAACTCGTCGTTTCCCATTTCAGTTCCACTAGAGGGTCTGGCCTGGCGTGAGGTGTACCCGAATGCTCTTCTCAGAGTATGCCCAATCCATCTCCACTTTCTTCCGCATATTTGTCAGGCGATGAGTTCTTGGCTGGTTCGTTGCCAGCCAGAGTTCCTTGTTGCTTATTCTTATTATTCTGGCCATCTGATCTTGAGTATCGAGTGAGCGTAGGCGGCAGCTGTTGATGAATGTCTGCAGCTTGTTGGAAACGCTTTTCGTAACGCGCCAAGTCTCTCAGCCATCACATAGAAGCACTGAATTGACATCAGTGTTGAAAATCCGGGTCCTGTTCCTTGTGATTAGTGCAGCCGATCTCCACACTGGTTTCAGCCTAATGAAGGCCTGTCTTGCTTTTCCGATCCTGGCTTTGACATCCTCATCTGCGCTGCCACCTGTAGTTGAGATGATTCTGTCTAGTTAGGTGAAAGACTACTTCCTTTAGGTTTCTCTCGCTGGTGGTGATTAGTGTTTGTTGTTATTAGTTGGGTATCTTCATCACCTCTGTCTTCCCTACGTTCACTTGAACTCCCGTCTTCGCTGCCTCTCATGTCAACCTGTTAGTTTTTGACTGTAGATCTTCAAGTTTGCGCGACATTAGGCACAGATCATCATCGGTGAAATCCAAATCTCCTAGGGTCTTTTCATCGGTCCAGCCTGCGCATGCCTATCTTCTCGTTCCTCACAGGTTTTTGCACGGTCCAGCCCACCAAAATAAGAAAGACCATCTGTGATGGTAGGCGGCATCCTTGTCTCACCAATATCTTTGTTTCAAAGGCGTCAGTGAGTTTTCCATTGTGAATCACTTGGCACGTGGCGTCGTCATATAATTTTTGAACGAGGTTGATAAAGGTTTGCGGTATTCCGTGACGTTGAAGCAGTTGCCTGATTACCTCTCGGTCAACGCTGTCGAAGGCCTTTTCAAAGTTGATGAAGTTGAGAGTTGACTGCCATCCTATACTCCGTTCTACGATGATGCGTAGAGTAGCGTTGCAATTTGATGCACACATGATTTGTACTTCCTGAAGCCAGCCTGTTCCGGTCGTACTTTTGAATCAAAGCGCATATTTTAGTCTCTCCGGGATGATCTGATTTAATATTTAGCTAGGTGTGGACAGGAACATGATTCTGCGCCAGTTCTTGCAAGGAACTAGGTCTCCCTTTTTTGGGAGTGTGACGAGGTAGCTCTCCTTCCAATCGACAGGTACCTTTTCTCCCTCCCAAACCTTCTGCAGTAGTCGTGTGGGCATGTCCTCTGTTGTCTCTGCCTCGGTTTTCAGTGCTTCTGAAGGAATTCCATCTGGTCCTCCTGCTTTCCCAGCTTTCAGTAACTTTATGGAGTTCAGGACTTCACTTCTGCTATTATCGGAGAGTTTGTGTTCACTGACAGTTCTGTGGCTGGGTCGCTGGTGGTATTTCTGGACGAGTTGCAGGTGGTGGTCGATTCTAGGGTTTTTTGAAGTGGTCGGCTCATTGTTTCCTTTGTTTCTCCTCTTTGCTAACTAGGTTTTCTCCTCTATCTTTCATTGGTTTCACCTGCGTCGATCTCTTCCCAGATAATATTTTGGTCATATGATATAATGTTGTCAGGTCTCTCCTACCAGCAGTCTGTTCTGCTTCACTTGCCAGTGTGTCGTAGAAGTGTCTTTTCACTCACTCTTTTTCAATTCTTTGTCCAGTGCTTTATAGATTGTATTCAGTACCTCTTTTCGTTGTTCACCCCTGCATAGCACTGCAATGATTCATCTTCCTCTCTCTACCCTATTAGCCTCTGTGTCCGCCAAGATCCATTCCCCGTCCTGTCTTGCTTCTTCTGACTTCCTAACACGGTTATGCAGGTTTCCTTCCACGTCTCTCTCAAAGAGTTCTGGTGTTCTTCCACGCAAGTTTCTTCGGGGATGTTGTCTAATGGCTTCCATTTTTCCCAGATGACTGACTGACGTGAATATATATCTCTTGTAGTTTCGTCCTTCAGTTCAGTTTCTGTTCTGGGTGTTCAACTTCAACTGTGGCCTATCACCAGCTCCTATGAAGGCTTTCAACTTGATTTTGAAGGTTCCTCCCACTAGATAGTGAGTGGTGTGAACCTACATCCGCTCCTCTTCGTTGTCTTGTGTCCAGTACGCTGCGTCTCCACTTCCTTCACATTAAGATGAAGTCAGTCTAATTTTTAGTGTGTCCGTCTCGTGAAGTCCATGTCGCTGTCTTGTGAATATCCTTTTAGTCGTACACACTGCCTGTCTCCAATCACCAAATCGTTGGACGCAAAAAAATCTGCAAACAGTTCTCCGTTCTCGTTCATTTCACCGAGTGCCCCTCGAACCATAATGAGTGCTCCTCCTGTGTTGTTCGCTCCGAGTTTGGCGTCCATGTCGCCCATTAGAATTTCAATTTCGCCAACTGGGGTGGGGTCTTGTCCAGAACTGATTACAGTTGTCTATAGTATTCCTCCTTCTTCTCTTGATCTGCATTATCTGTAGGCACGTAGCGTAGCATTGTATGATTGTGACTCTCCTTTCATTTGAGTTGAATCTTGCTGTCATGATCCTGTAGGAGGAGATTGGTCCCCACCACATGAGAAACTTCGATGCTTTTGGGGACATCACGATAGCCACTCCAAAACTCAGTGTACTTGTGGTTGTCGTCTGGGTGACAATATCGGAGTAGATTATTGACTCTCCGGCTGACAGTTTGAAGAGTCCACTACCACTCCACCCGCTCTCTTAGGTTCCTAGCACTTCGTGCCATATCTCCTCGTTTATTTTGTAATACGGGCAGCCTTCCCAGCCAGCCTCAAACATTGTACGGACATTCCGTGTCCCTATGCTTACTCTCGGTTTCACTGAGAGAAGCGACGGCATATCGGCCAATTGGCTTCCCGAAGGCCTTCCCTAACCGGCGTCATTTCATCTCCCCGATTTCAGCAACGAATAAGTTTGGTTTCATTTTTTATATTTTCTTTGTGCTTTGAAGTTTCTTTAGTGATTGGATTGGTTATACAAGGTAGGGTTGCTAGACCTATGCCTAACCTTCCCTCTTTATCCGGGCTTAGGACCGGCTAGTAAACTAGTCAACTAGTTAACCATGAAGGAATCTAATAGCTGTAGAAGCGCCACTGTAACTGGCTGTTCTCTCACTCTTGCTAGCATAGTTGTATAAAAATCCTTTCGATGAACATTTTGAATCCCACATCTTAGGGGTGCTGTAATAGAAGGGAGAAGAACAAATGTAAGCCGGTCACAATAACAGGTAGCTCTACTTTAGGGAGTAGCACCGACTTTGGTAGAGTAGTGATGCCTCCTGCTCAGCACACTGCGAGCCCAACCCCTCGAACAAACCATTCGCCAGCTACCCAGATGGAAGAAGGCCTAGGAAACAGGAAGCTCACTCGAAAGCCAAGTCAAAACTCTGTCTCTCAGTTCACTATCGACCCCAGTTCTGTGGAGTAAGACGAAGCATTATGAACTTTTGATCGTGAACTTTTAATGTGAACCGATGCCAGAATACGTGTATTACGTAGTTCTGCAATCATAAAAGAACGACGGACAATGGTACATCTTCTGCTGCCGTGCTTCATCCTGGCTATATGTAATAGTCATGTCTTCTAGTGAATGACCAAGTTGGGGTTGAAGCTGCCTGTCCTTAGGAAGCATGCACTTTACACGGGAATTTCATGCACACCTGTGAAAATGATGTTTGGCTGCACGCTATTATGACTGGATAAAAACCATTGAGGAACTCAGTCAGCGTCACTCCTTTGAGAATAAACTTTGCGGAATGTTTCCCCTTTTTATTTACATGATGCTTTTACATATCTATTAAACATGATTTTCACTTCTGCCAGAAAACTTTATTAAACCTGTGAATGAACACAAAATTCAACATGTTACTTAACGACGACTATTTGTATGTCATGGGAAATCTTTCTTTTAGCTTGAGGATTGCTGCTATCTGGGATAAAGAAGAGGTGGTAAAGAGTTTTGATCAAAGATTTCTTGCCACTAAACGTGATGACCATGTCCGTAAGTGATTTGCACCTGTCGTTTCGAGAATTACTACCATTACTATTATCATTATTAGTTCATGAGTTCACTGGCTACTGGTCAATGCAGGGCTATAAAGCTTAGGCCTGACTGCAGTTCATAGGACATTAGAACTTCGT